CTGGCCAGGTTGCTCCCAACTGCCTCCTCCCTGCTAGCCTGGTTATTATCCCCCTTCCTGCTGGCCTGGTTATAATCCCCCTGACAGCCTAATCACCCCCAACTACGCCTCCAAGCTACCCTGATCATCCCCAATTGCACCCCCCCGGCCAGCCTTCAACTGCCCCCCCCCCTGCAGACATGTAAACAACTAGCTGAATAACACAAGTTCTAATTAGCAATATATCGCGTTTTCCGGCGTATAAGACGACCCCCCTAATTTTACAGTTAAAACATAGGTTTAGGCCTATATTCGCTGTATAAGACTACCCCCCACCTTCCGAGGCAACACCAGTTCTTTTTTTAATAGACCACCTCTCTGACTCTGGCCAATCTGAGCAGGCTTTTTTTCGGTTCAAAAGTAGTCTTATACGCCGGAAAATATGGTGTATGCGGTTGCTGAAATGGAGAAGCAATTAATCTGAATGAGGGATCAGTCAGGGAAGCAGAAAAAGTATAGCCTGGGCAAATTTTGACAAGGAGTGAGATCCCATTGACAAAGTCTGATGAAGACTCTTTCTCAGAAAGTGGGTTGTAAATGGAAAAGATTCAAGTGACTCTGAGGGAGAGTACAACTATTATACATACAGTTAGTAGAACAAAGAGACACAGTTTAACAGTATTTCAGGTCTCCTGACTCTCGTGCTTTTAAATAAGGCATTTGAAGGGACAAAATTTTTGAAAATGAATAAGCAGAAAGAAACTGAAAATAGAAGAAACTTTAAAAAGGAGACTAATTATTTAATGAGGGAAAAGACAATAACAATTACTTTGGATTAATTTGATAAAATAGTGATAAACAGAAACGACAAAAATATATCAATTGCTAACATAAGAAAAGTAAGTAATATTTAATAGATGTAGGTAAACATTAACCATATTTAACTACAGTTCAGATTGAAGTAATAGTTCCCCATTGGCTGACTTCAGATCTGACTAAGCCCTGAATTAGGACGTCAGAGCTGTTGCACTTGATATTCAGTGACACTGCTTTTTTTAAGGTTCATTTTGCCCATGAGTATTTGGATTTGTGAAATAATGGACTATTCAGACAGATCAGTAATTGCAATATTTGTCTGTTTCTTTTAATGTCCTCTGTCCAAAATTGAGAATGTACTCATTTTCAAAATATTTTATTGCATTTTTTTGGTTTTGTTAAATAAAGCAATAAAACAATTGATGTTTATATTCCTAGGAATTACTATAGTAAAGTTTAATTTAGTAAAACGTAAGTTCACAATAAGATTTATATTTTATGACCGTTGTCTGGCAAATGTGGCTCAGTGGTTGAGCATTGACCTATGAACCAGGAAGTCACTGTTCAGTTTTTGATCTGGGCACATGCCTGGATTGTGGGCTCAATCCCCAGTAGGAGGCAGCCAATCAATGATTCTCTCTCATCATGATATTTATATCTCTCTTTCTCTCTCCCTTCCTCTCTGAAATCAATTTAAAATATTTTTAAGTTACCAGTAACTCTTAATTGAATTTAAGAAGTTGCACAAGTGGAAAGTAACGCTGTGGCTAAAAATCTTTGCCAGAGATTGTTTCTAATACAAAGTAATATCAATGGATTATGTAAATGTTATTTAATTTAAATATGTACTCAAAGTATAAATATCAGTTTAATCTTTAAAAGACTTGTAGAATAGAAAGATATAATATATAAAAAAGGATCAACTCAAGGCTTTTTTTTTTCTTCTTACAACAGCTTTTTGCTCCATTCCATGTTATATATTTCTATGTCATTCTGCCTACTATTAATGAAATAGACATTATATTTTTTATTAAAATCTATCAAGCCATTTTAATGTATTGGCACATAGAACCTTGCTAGGATCTTGCTTTAAAATTATATAATATGTCGTTAATATTGCCATAATGGTAACTAAATCACTCATCCAGTCGATAAGGTTTAATTTGAGATTTGTTTTAATGTGCATAAAAGATTCTCATTGTCATTAATCTTCTTATGTCACTCTTCTGTTTATCAGATTTAAAAGTATGTTATGAGAAACTTTCCTTATTTTTTAAAAAATGGACTTTATTCTTTTGTTTCTTCCTGTGGAAAATATTCAAAGTGCAGAGATGCATTAGTCTGTGACATGCTGGGCATCATTACTTTGCATTAGCAAGGCCTAAGTTTGATTATTGCCCTTCAAAGCCATAAACAATAGGGAGTTGAAGGAAAGTGGCAAAGATGAATAAGATATGGGAAATAAGCCTTTTTAGAAAGAATTAAATCTGTGTAGCTTTAAAAGGAAGAAGAGGAGGGTACAATGTAAATAGCACTCACTGGATTGAGATGCTGGTTTCAAGGCCTGGCTCTACCAGAGTGATTCACTATAGAGAGGCCACTCTACAATACTGTCTCTTAATCTGTAAAATGAGGGGACTTGATTAGATTGGAATCAAAGATTTTTTATTAAAAGTCCAGCTAGTATTTTAGGCTTTGCAAGCCAAACTGCTTCTGCCACAACTACTCAACTCTGTTGTAAATAGGCAAGGCTGTATATGTTCTAGTAACACTTGACTTACAAAGATAGGCAGCAAGCCAGATTTCATCCACTGGCCTTAATTTGCTGACCTCTTGACTGGATGACCTTTAAAATTTCTTTTATATTTGCATGCTGTGATAATTCTTTATTATAAACATCCTAGAAAGGAATTGCTGATCATTTATTTTCTTCTAGAGGCCCAGTACATGAAAATTCATGCACTGGAGGGGAGAGGAGTCCTTCAGCCCAGCCTTCCCCCTATCACAGTCCAGGAGCCTTCAGGGGTGGAAAGTGACCCAGTGATCAGGGGAAGGCAATGCCCCACCACGCCTCTGCTGCTGCCACTGCCAGCAGCGCAAGCCTTGGACAGCCCTGGTTACCTGAGCCTTGGGCAGCCCTGGGCAGCCACCATCTGAGGCTTGCCTGTGCCTCGGGCCGGCCCTGGGTGGCTGAGGGGCTGAGGGGACTAGGTGCCACCATCATTGAGGGTGGGACAGTCAATTAGCATATTCCCTCCTTATTGACTGTGGGAACTACCATCTTGAGATAGTGTGAGAGTCAATTAGCATATTCCATCTTTATTAGATAGAATGAATTACCAGTCAGAGGCTAGCCAGGAGACAGAAACCATATAGGTATTTTAACAGAAAATTTGACATGAGAACAATTGTTAACTAGATTTTAAATTACTTGAAAGGGTTATTTACTGAGGTATCATGGATTTAGAAAATGCAGGAAGCAGCTACCACCTCTCTGATATGAAACTCATATCTCTGTTAACTGGCTACAGCTCAATTGATGCTAATATTTCTGAGCTCCAAGGAAGGCTCTCTGCAGACAGAACCTCTGAGGACTCCTTTTAATGGATAAAGAACCAAACAAAAGAAAGTAGACTTTGGGTAAAGCAGGAGGGATTGTATTAAACACAAGAAAGAACTAATTCATAGATACAGTGGGAATGGTGTAAGAGTCATTGTCCCCAGTGTTTTTCAATAAAAGATTAGTTATCTACGCTGGATAGTTTTAATTTCAGAATGCTGAGAACAAGATTATCTTTATTCCTCTAATACTCTTTTCCTCCCTCTGGTGAGTAATGTGGCATTTGACTTCCCTTTCTTGGTGTAAGTATCCTAGACTAGTTTTCAAATACCTTTTTTTTTTTTCCTAGAAAATGTATCATAATTTGGTAAGTCTTTTGTCTGAGTTTCTAACAGACCTAGGTAACCGAGACAATTGCAGTAATTGAAGGATGAGGGAGAATATTTATCTCTTGCACTTGTTCTTTACATTTTTTTCTCTTCTTCTCTCCTGTTTTCTTTTTGTTTTTCTCTCTTAGCTTGTAGAGCTCTGTGTAAATTTTTTTGTGCCACTGTTCATAATTCACCTTATGTTATTGTTGTTTGTGTCTTACTTTGATTTGAGATATAGAGAATAATACTTCTTTGGATCTCAGAAGCCAAGAAATGATTTCAGTTTGCTTCTTCTCATCCATTCTAAACAGTCTTCAGAGGTAAACTAGCTTCTAAGCCAAGGAGGGCAGCAAGAACAGTGCCTGGCATATAGTAGGTTCTCAGTAAATGACTATCATTGAATGATTGAACCTTCCTCTGGCACAGATTTGCATAGCAACAAGTTGAATTAATGGTTTAATTAAAAAAATTATAGGCTCTAAATAACCATTTGAGAGTTTTTCCCCTTTTTTTGTTAAAAACTATTCTGTCTTATGCTTTCTGATTCTTGGTTTCTTCATTTTTTGGTTCATTTTAAGTGGACCAAACAGCTCTCAATACTCAGCAGTGTCAATCCCATTTTTATTCTCTTTTGTGCCTGTGTGAGGAATGAAAGGATTTATACATGGAATGGGAGGACCTTAATACTTTATTATCTTCAGATAGCAACAGAATGTTTTTGTAATTCATGGATATTGGCAGTTTCCTAAATGCTATTTGGCAGTTTTCTATCCATTGTCTCAGGTTCCCAACTTTCCAGTACACACACACACACACACACACACACACACACACACAAATTGTTTTCCTATTTGATTCTTTATCATGAAAGAAAAGTGTGGAAAATAAAATCTCATGTTTTTCTTACAACTCAATATAATTTGAAACAGGTTTCTTGATTGATGATGTTTATATCTTATTCTGTAAATGGGATTTGTGACCCAAAAAGAAACAAAAACTAATAATCTTTGTTGTCAGGTACTAAGGTTTGCCAACTTGTTGCTAGTATTCTCCATAAGCTCAAGCAGTTGCTAGTGATGAAGGAGCTGAAGACAACTGTTGACATGTTTCCCTGGCCTATGTTCTAGATACTGATGAGGATTTTGAATTCAGCAAACAGTTGGTAAATGTATCTGCTGGAGTAAGCTCTGATTCCAACGTTTTGGAGATACAGGCTAACTGAAAGTAACTTTTTGAAACTTAAGTATTCTGACTAAACTCTTCTGTCTTGTCAGCCACAAGTTCTGCCCACTTGGAGGACCTTGCTTACCTGGATGAGCAGAGACATACACCTTTGAGAACTTCTCTTCGAATGCCAAGACAGAGCATGGGTGGTGTTCGCACACAACAGGATTTAAGAGGTTAGAACCACAGAATTACTTTGTTTGGGGATGCTCATGGGAAAACGGAAATGGACTATAGGCAAAAAGTTCCTTTGTTTCCAATTTCTACACTTACTTAAACCTACCTTAAGAATAGAAGAGAAATACAAATACATTGCACAATGGAATTGTATAATTGCCTACATATAGAACTGTTGGCATTGATTCCTGGAAATTCTGAAAGGGCTGGTTGTGATGGGGGAAATAATCTTTTAAAAGCCCTGAATTTCCTAAGTGATTGTTGACCAAATTCAACCCTAGCCATTTTCAGCATGAACTTGGTGCTGATAATGGTGTTTTGCCAGAGAATTTATTTCATGTTCATTCTAGTGGCCATTTCTAATGACATATAGTACTTTTAATTTCTTGGAGTTTTAGACAGGGATTCTAGTGCTGTCCTGGCAACATCTAAACTTATCTGTTTCCTACTCAGGTACCTATTCACACTCTCTGTGCATGCTGCTTGTTTCTACAGTCAGGATCCTGATCTTTTCAAATACTTTCATTTTGTTATAACCATGGGCTAGTTGAAAGATTGTTACTGGTATCTCTGCTTATGCCTCTTGTTTGCTCAAAATGAACCGAACTGTCTTTGATAACCTTAACAGATGGTTTGCTTTCTTTAGTATCTAGTAGTAATCTATAGCTCTACTACATTAAGTATATTTTTAATATTCTTTTACAAATTATTTTCATCTTGCTTTTGTCTCTTACCCCCTGTCCGGTGCCCCATTCTAAATTCGTATGTTGTCAAAATGCATAACTCACACCAAAAAAGGATCATACATGCCTGCTGTCCATTCTGGAAGTCATTATACTGACAGTTTTTCAAGATTTGTAGGCAACTGGGAGCATCAAATGATTGTATTGCAACAATTATCATATCTCTCATCAACAATAGTGAATTGATGGCCTTAGTCATACTACCTTATTTCCCCGAAAATAAGACATCCTCCGAAAATAAGACCTAGCGCATGGAAAGATAAGACATCCCCTGAAAATAAGACCTAGCGCAACTTTGGGAGAAAAAATTAATATAAGACTCTGTCTTATTTTCGGGGAAACAGGGTAGTAGTCATAGTTTTATTTTTAATTCTATCCATCCTGCTTGCCATTTCTTTAATTAGCTACATACTATTTGCTTAGTGTGTGCAATAGGGTATTTCCAGCCCAAAAAGTGGTATTGTGTCAAGTAATATTTTAGTACTGGTAGGTTGGTTATATCCAAAGCCTGAATAAATTTAGTCAGAAAATGAAATAAATTATTTGTTTCAAGATGCATAGAAATACTAAAGAAGATTGGACACACTATTGATCTATTAGAGACCAGGTGCATGAAATCCGTGCACAGGTATGATCCCTAGGCCTGACTTGTGATCAGGGCCATCATCCCCAGCTCTGGCAGCCAGCCCCACCCCCTGCCACTACCCACCCCTGGCCCTTCAATTGCCATCCAGAGATCAGAGCCTGCCAACTTGGGGAAGGGACCGAGAAGATAGGGGCATCGGAGCCTGTCTGCCTGTCTGCTGGCCCTATCTACTCGTCTGCTGGCCCGATTGCCCCTAACCGTCTCTGCCTCAGCCCCTACCACGGTGGCTTCATTTAGAAGGATGTTGCGAAAGTCGTTTGGCTGTCCAGTCTAATTAGCATGTTACGCTTTTATTATTTTATATAGAAAACAAAATTAACTGACAGGTTTCAACTGCATGCTTTTGCGAACACTTCATATTGGGTTCTAGTGATACTTGATGGGATATTTCTGCTCCTAGTATCTAAAGATTTGTAAGAGCTCTGACTAGTGCATTTTACTGAGCTTGATGTTTACACACAGATATCAGTTGTATAAACACAACAACAACAAAAACTTTTTCATTGCATTGAGCTTTAGGTGAACATTCAGTAAAACCAAAGTACATACAAACTTTTTTTTCCAAAGCATGCCTAAGTCTTTAGGAATCTCTCTGCCTAAATAATATCCCTTAACAAAACTAATTTTATACCCTTACAGATAGTATCTCAACATTGTTTACATTAACACTTAGAAATGGAATTTGTTCATTGATAATGGTACTATGATATTAAAATTTCAGTTCCTTAAAGTTGTCTTTTCTTTCAAAAGCTTTCCTTTTTACAGACTAAATGGTTAGTATATACCATCCACATGAATGCATTAATCCATAAGTTACTGGATGTTTAGTAAGCAGTATTTTGTCTTCTAAAATAAGAATACTTTAATTTAGAACTTTGAGGCCCTGGACAAAATTGTCCCTCAAAGAGTAACATGTTATCTTAATTACTGTTTGCAATGTACTCTATGACTTATGAAATGACTTAAAAACATTAACAAGAAAGGAAAGCAAACTTGGACACACTTTCCTCATGTTTCCATAGACCTGCTTGGCAAGCTTTTATAATTTGTGATCATTATATCCAAAACATTGTACTTTATTGTAAAAATAGAACCATATTGCTTTCCTAGCATAATTTTTTAAAAACGTGTTACATTATTCTTTCTAATTTTTTTTAAAGAGACATACAAATTGCAGTCGTTATTCAGTTTTATATATTTTTCTTCTTCTGGTTATGATTGGAGTAAAACAACTTTACCCATTAAAAAAGTAAAGTGATTAAAAACCTTTTTAGTATAAATTAAGATGTATCTTTCTACATTGAGGTATATCTTTCTATAGTTTGAAATATTCCTCAAATAAATCATGATACAGGTTTTAAATCAGAGTTCTGGTTTAAATGACTCTGGATCCTCATAGTTAATGGCCACATACACTGTAGTGTATCCACTAGGTGCTAAATTTACTGATTCCAAGTACAGAGATTATCTGAAATAATATTCCTTGAATATATGTCTAAAGAGGTGGCAAGGATTTATTTGGTGCTTCAAACAAGCAGTCTTGCACTATTCTGTTTAGAGCAGTGCAGGATCCCTCTACACACTTTATAAAGTATCGAGAACCTTAAAAAGCCTGTATTTATGAGTTATATCTATTGATATTTATCATATTAGAAATTAAAACTGAGAATTTTTTAAAATATCTGTCCACTTTTTTTAAACAATTGTAAACCCATTGTGTGTTAACATCATGTAAGCTATGGAAAATTCCACCATACACTATCAGAGAATGAAAATGGAAAAAGACAAATGATGTCTTAGCATTATGCACATAGTTTTGATTTGTGGACCTCCTGAAAGTATCTTGAGAACACCCAGTGGTCCCCAGATCACATTTTAAGAACCATTGGTGCAGAGGAAACCATTATAATTGAAGATAAGCTTTATGCTTTAGGGACCATACATAATGCAAAAAAGTGCAATTTGCAAATTGGTTAGAAGTTGATCAGGAATGTGGCTTAAGAGTACAGGCATTGTTCATTTAATAATTACCTTAATAGTAACTACAGTTGTTTGCTCATAATGATAGTCTTTTAACTGCTGAAACAGAAATTGCTGGGGTAACATCTAAGCTAGAATTTGGGTCTTCAAGTGGGGTATTAACATTCACTTCATTAGTAAATTTATATACTTCTTAAGATAGCTGATCCGACAAAGGAGACAAGGTCACATAAGTGCACTGTCCTGGATCCTATTGCAACAAGTTATGAGATTCCTAGCTGTCAACCACCTAAGGACTTGAGCTTTAATGATAGGTATGGAAGATAGTGCAGAGTACAACTGGCTAAACTTCTGCAAGTGCCTTTTCTAGTCCCAGAGTCTAATGTCCTTGACAGATATTAATTTGAAACCTTATTAAAGTTTTTAATTTCCGTTTTTAAAATTGGGGATCCATTTTTAAAATGTAATCATCATTGTGTTAATGTGAAATCATGCTAAAAATTATCTACCTGAAACCTCTCATGTTTCTGACCATCTTAATGGCATCTCTATTCCACAGAGAAAGACAAACTAATTTTGCTGCCTAGTAAAAGGAGAGGAGAGGTTGCTGGCTTTCATGGACAAATACTAGTATAATAAAGGTTAAGGAAAGCAGGGAGAGTTAAAATACACAAAACAAAATATAGCGTAATGACTGAATAGAGCTACTTGGGGTAAATTAGCAACAAATTATTAATGATAAGTCTCTAACCTTCCTGATATTAAATCATAATCACTATTCTGCTTGAAATGATTACACATTCCTAATTAAACCTTATTTCTCAAAATATGTTGTTTCCTTAGGACTTTTACTAAATCCCATTATATGGCCATTCACAGGCACTGGTTTTAGTTAGCTGCTTTAATAGTTTCTAGGTTGGAGGGCATAGGTGCAAATAGTATTCTGACTCATTGGCAGAATTTATGTGAAATTGACCGTTAACTTGGTTTTATCAAAGCAAAGAATTTAGTTTTTGTCTAATAAAATCAGTGCTTCACACCATTTTTGAGTCCCTTACTTTTCCAAAACAATGAATTCTTTATGAAGATGACTAAGATGCATGTCATGAAGCTAATACTCTTGCAATAGCCCACTGAGTCATACATCCTTGAGGTTGCTTAGTCATCTTGATCATTGCCTGACTGGCTCTCACATTTACAAGATATTTCCATCAGTGTTTTCTGTCTCATTGTTCATTGTTTTATTTTTACAAGATTAAATTTCTTTTTTTCAGATAAATTCAAAATCCAGAGATAAAGTTGCTTGCACATAACTGCCTATATGTAAATATTAGATGGATAGATTGTAAGCTTTACTAGTATGTCAATTCTGTTGCAGAGCACCCTAAAATTTAAAATTATAGTACTCAAACTGGATGCCTTTGAATGTCTTCTAGAAACTAATTTATACTTTTTGGAGTAGTCTGGCTATGATTTTTTTAAAGCTAATTACTACTTGTTAAAGTAGCTCCAGATCTGGTTTGTATATAAGCCAGCCTTATTTTCTAAACTCTATCTTAAATTCTGAAAACCCAAACAGTAGCTAGTATACAACAAAGTTCCCCCATAAGACTCAGAAGAAAAAAATAAC